TGTGTGCATGCCCCAAATCCCAGGAGGAGAATGGAGGAGAAGGAATTATGGCATGGCCTTCCCCCCTGGAGGAGGGTTGAGTTCCCATTTTTCCTCTCACTGTCTCTCTCTCTGTCTCTCTCCCATAGGTGCATGTGTCCTATGGCACAAACCATAAACCTCCCCCACTCAAAAAAAAAAAAAAACCTTAATGTAGAAGGGATTTCGCTACAGTGCTTGATTATTGGTAATTGATTAATTGATTTTGCTTTTCTGTATTTTCTTGTTTTACCATAAAAGTCATATGCTGTATCCATAATCTTTGTGTAAGTATAACGTGTATGGTTTTAAATGACAAGAGTATGAGTCTTCTGTGCTCTTGTTCATTTTATCCAAGTTTAAAGCTGCATAAGGAAATGTGGACTCTTTATCATCTTTAATGGTTAATAATAAGTTGTATTTTCTAGGAAAGAGAAATGACTGTCTCTGAGGTTCTTTCAGAGGTTAGGCATTTTGTATGGCCAATTTAAAGTCATATTTTATTTTGATTTCTTTTCTCTCTCTCTTTCTCTTCTCTTTCCTCTTTGACCCTTCCACTTCATCCTCATGTCCCTTATCTGCCTTCCTCTGCTCTCTTCTGCCTCCTCAACCCTGCCTAGGTGTCTACCTGTCCATATGCTGTATATGGAGCTTGGGTAGGTGGCTCCATCTTGTGCTCGCTCTCTACATTCAAGGACATGTGGATCACCAGCAAGGATTATAAGGACATTGGCTCCTCCATCATCAGTAGAAGGAGCTTCTGATCATGGCTTTCAGAACTCCATCACCTATGCCATCATCACCACCCCTCACTTTGTGCCTCACTTTGGCTGAATTGATCAGAGCTCAGAACCAAGGCAAACACAGGAGCCCCTCCTCCTCCAGACTGCAATAAAAAAGGCAAAAAAAGGATATAGTCTGCCTCCTTGACTGGCAAGGCTGGCAGTGTTTTAGGACACCTACTATATGAATGTAGAGTAGTAGAGGGGAGGGACTGTCTGGTTCTCCCTGTGAATTAGTCGGGATGCCTAAGCTATGCTGCAGTAACAAACATCCCCCAAATCTTAGTGCCAAAAACAAAAGCCCATTTCTCACTTGTGTTGCATGTCCATTGAAAGTTAACAGGACTTTCAGGCATCATTTTCACTCTGAATCTGCTAACAGAGCAGATGCCATCTGGAACACTGTCATCATTGTGGATAAGCATGAGAGTGCTCTGTTATGAAGACCTAATTGGGTCTTACATTATCGTCTAAGTGTGTCAGCCCAGAAGAAAGAACATCTCGTGATTGATTGGCCAGAACAAGTCACAGGTTCAACTTAATCACAAGAGACCAAGAAGTGCCATCCAGTCATCAGTCAACATACCCACATGATGAGAAAAGCGTGGATACTCCCATTGCACGCAAGCACAGCACAGTTTGGGCAGTACCTAGAGTGCATGCCATGCAAGGGGCACTATGTCTTAAATGAATGGCCTCCTCCTGATGTTGCTCAAGATTGGTTTTATAAAGACTGATTTCATGGTGCAGCAGCTGCAGCGAGGTTAATTATCTGTATTGAGGTTATTTAGGTAGTAACAGGGAGTTTAAATCCATAAATAACATCTAGAAAGGGTGCTACGGGGTGAGAGCCAAGAGAACAAAGGAGAGAAAGTAACTAAACAATAGAGGAATAGTTTCCCAAACCAAATACACACGTTTTCAGTATTGAAGGGTCACAGAGGGCATGGAAGGGCCACAGAGAGCTAAGCAAAATGATGGAAAATTCCCACATGCAAATACTATCTAATGACACTTCAGAATATTAAAGATAAAGAATAAATTCTAGAGACTTTAAGTCAAAACAACAAAAACATGCTAACTGTGGAGTTACCAGAAAAAAATCCAGCAAGTCTAGTTAAATTTGAATTTCAGGGACCAGCGGTTGGCGTAATGGCTATGTTGCTGGACTCCCATGTAGTTGATCGCAGTTCAAGTCCCAGACGTGGTGGCTTAAACTTACACCGGGTGCGTGTGTGCATGCCCAAGATCCTGAGAGGAGAGTGGAGGAGAAGGGATTGTGATGTGGCCATCCTCCTGGGAGCTGATTTCTCACTTTCTGTCTCTTTTTCTCTCTGTCTTTCTGGCATGCTCATGCACCCTATAGCAAAAACCTAAAAAAAAAAAAATGAATTTCAGAAATACAATGAATAAAAGTGTTGTATAAGCACATCTCCAATATAAGGGCAGGTCTTTAAAAAGTTCACAGAAAATGCATACTATGAAAAAACTAGTGTGGATTTCAAAAAATGTTTACAGCAGAATAAATTCATACTTTAATTCCATTGCCCATAAACTTTAAAAAAAACTATTTATTTAATTTTATTAATTAATATTATTAAATTTGAATTAGGGAAGGTTGTATAAGCACATCTCCAATATAAGGGCAGGTCTTTAAAAAGTTCACAGAAAATGCATACTATGAAAAAACTAGTGTGGATTTCAAAAAATGTTTACAGCAGAATAAATTCATACTTTAATTCCATTGCCCATAAACTTTAAAAAAAACTATTTATTTAATTTTATTAATTAATATTATTAAATTTGAATTAGGGAAGGGGGAGAGAGGGAGAAAGAGAGAAAGAGAGAGAGAGAGAAAACAAAAAAGCAGCTGCGGGAAACAGCAGTTAGCATAATGGCTATGTTGCTGGGCTCCCATGTAGTCGACCCCGGTTCGTG